TCTACAAATGCATATCCTGCATAGACGGGTATATGCCAGATTATTTTGTCGAAGAGCGGATTGTGAACAATGTGACCAAAAATTGCATCCCGACTAAATATATGCTTAACATTAGCGAGACAAATGTCTGTATTTAGGCAAATATGTTCGGGTGTGTACCGTGGCTAACAATTTTCCTTGTTTGCACTCAGCATGACAATATTAGGCAGCATGCATACTCCTGCTGTCAATAAATGCAACAATCTCTCTCTTTCTCTTAAGTTTGAAATCCCGAGCAAAACATAAAATAAAATAAAAATGTCGATATTAACTTCTTGAACGAATAACGTCCCATAATTATAAATCAGCTAGCTGATACACCTAATATTTCCGGAATTTGCAAATCAAATGCAGTATTGTTTCAATGTATAAAAAAAATATCGAATTTCATTTCGACGCGAAATAATAGTTCAGCGCGAAAAGATTACGGCACGAAAGGACATTTCGGCGCGAAAGGACATTTCGGCGCGAAAGGACATTACGGCGTGAAAGGACATTACGCCACGAAAGGACATTACGGCGTGAAAGGACATTACGCCACGAAAGGACATTTCGGCACGAAAGGACATTTCGGCACGAAAGGACATTTCAGCGCAAAAGGACATTTCGGCACGAAAGGACATTTCGGCGTTAAGGAATCTCTAATGCCCCTCCAGCTCAATTATTTTCCTTTAAATTTGTTTTGGAGTTTGAAATATTTTCTCGAAACTCTGGCATTGTCTGAATTTCTTAGATGAATCATTATCATTAATGTTTTTTCTTTTCACCATATTTTGGGATTTTTCCTGTGCCATAATTAAAGATGCTGTAAAAATTAAACGTTTTTTTTTTCAAAATTGCACCAGAAATCGCCCTCTGCCATGCTCTCTCTTTACAAGAGTCACATCGGGCCGAAACTGAAGTACTACTGCTAGACCTAAAATGGAGATACCCAATCCTCATTTTCCAGTTTTACTGGTATTCTTACTATATAAATATACTTTTATACAAATGTATAAAAATAGTACTTTCTTATTTTTTTTTTTTAGGGGGTGTCACTATTTTCCCATAGCTCGGACCCTAACAGGTGCTACCATTCCGAGTCAGGGTGAACTTGGGAACAATATCAATTAAGAGGTGGCTCCACGATCCTCAAAACCTTCAATCTCCTGACCAGATACCTTGCTGCCGGATGTAGTTTATCGTCATACCCAGGAGTGCCTATATATTTAGAGACTGTTAATAAAATACAAAGAAGAATTTGCAATTTTACTGGTCCTGACCTGGCATTTCGGCTTTAGTTACTTTCCCACTGCCGTAACGTAGCTTCCCTATGTTGGTCTGGTCAGTTTACCCTCAATGGTACCTAGACTATGAATTTAAGCGCAGAACTACATTGGCAACAAGGATTCATCATTTTACAGTTGAAATGGATAGATGTAACCGTAAGTTCTATGCTAACAGTTTCTTCTATAGGCTGTGGAACTTTTTTTGGCTTCTTGCTTGTTGAAATCTCTTCCGGCTTCCTGCTTTCCAGCCAAGTTTGATCTTCTAAAATTTAAATGCAATGCCAATCGTTATCCTTTGTCTTCGTGATTCCTCTATTTTTTATTATCACTTTTTAATAATATTTTCTTTCCTTTATTCTTTCAAACTCGGTAACACCCTGTGTCTTAATGGCGTTATTATCTTTGCTTGGAGTGTAGGAATAATAATACTAATAATAATAATACAGGAAAAAAAAACTAGCAATAAAAATTAATACCGAGTGCCCTACAAAAAAACATGAAATTTGGTAGAGTTTATTTAATTGCTGGAATTTTTGTTACAGTTATTTGAAACAAAAGCAAAGGATAGAAAGTTAGAAGCTTAAAGCAAGAGAAAAACACAAATGTTTGATGTGGTGTTTAAACTAAAAAGTTAATTTTTTATATGCTAATTATCTTTTTTCATCATATGGTAAATCTAGAATGTCCTTTTTTGTGGGCCACCTTGTAGTAATAAAGAAGTTTGTTTTGAGCTAGAGTGTTGCGAGAAAAAAGCAAGAATAAAATGAGCAATAATATGTTAAAGGAAGCGTGTACCAACCTGGACTGTTATGATAAAAAAGCAACATAAATAAGATGGAGAGAAACTAGTAACAAAAATATTAATAATAGATGAGAGTAAATCAACCCAAAGAGTTGAATAAAAATGAAATAAGGTGGAATAAAGAAATAATAAAATGGATTGACCAAGTATCTTGGAGTTAATAGTAATAGGAATGGTGAGAATAAAGGTTTCCATACAGTAAATCTTCGGTATTCACTGAGCGACCTGTTAAGGTTATTTTCTGTTGAAATTTACAAAATACTTCTCTTAAAAGAGTTCTTCAGGAAAACAGGCCTTTCAAGTCCACGAGCTGTTATTGCTCTTTCTAGTGTGGACGGGATTTTTTCTCCCTAAACTTTTGTTTAAAGTAATGAGCTGGGTTAACATCATCATTAGTTCTCTTCTAGTTGCATGTACAACCTGTTTGTGTTGTAGCTGTGTTTGTGTTTTCAAGTGATGTGGTTTTTATTATTTGATAAAGCTTTTGGGTTGCGCCCGTCGATAAGGCCTGCAGAAGGATTGTCTTTAAGACTTACAGGATTCTTTCACTTGAAGTTAGAGAAAACAGTTGTATATAGATGATAGTTTAGACATTTCTGAACGACTTGGACGCTATGTATGGTATCCATCTGAGGACCTAAATTTAACGAAGCTATTTAAGAACCCGAGACCAATTTTCAGGTTAATATTAGTATTTTGTAACATATTACTGACAAAAGTACCTTTAACAAAACCTCTCCTGTGTGCAATTTCATTCCTATACTAAATTTGTATTAACTGATCCATACAGCGAGGCATTTGAAATGTTTAGAATTTATTGAAATGAAATAATTTCTTTTAAATCAAGAAATATGAACGAGTGTAGATTTTATACGGGTCGAATTTCAAGTCAGCAAGCTTTAATTCAGTCGTGCAGAGAATTCCTCTGTGTGAATTATGTGAAGATAAATAAAACGATGTATTGAAATCTCCATGAATAGAAGCAATCGCATCTAATTTAACAAGTTATCATTAGAAATAGAAGAAAAATAAACAATTAAGTTATTCACAGTTGTTGACTGAGTCGTTATGACTGAGAATGCGAAATGGATAAATTTCATAGCTATTTAAATTTGGTCAAAATTTGTGTCGCCTATTTGCAAGAAAAGAAACACGCAGCAAAACAGACATAAGTGCACACACACATACACCGATACAAACACCGACACAGATGTGCATGCACACTCTCAATATATGATCCGTTGCTAAGGATGCTGGGAAAATGTCCGGTTGCTTGTGCCGCCCCAGAAATTACTTGGCTCCTTCTAGCATGCTCTGTCTTTATAAGAGTCAGATCAAACCAACAAATGGATGATTGGTGCAATGTCTGCACTGGTGCTTTCCAATCTTGAGTTCAAAATCCTTTGCCCAGCCTTATGGGGGGATAACTGTATTTTAACCCGACGTAATGTTATCGTTGCTCTAACGCTATTTCCATGGCAAATGCTCAGACGAACGTCATCAGTTCAGACTTTTACAGTTAGGGAATGTTTACAGTTAAAGGAAAGGTAGGAACCACTTTGAGACGAAACTCGATTCAGTCTTTTTTTCTTCTGCATTTATTATATCGTTATTGAATTTAAGTTATCGAAAATAACACGCATAATATATATATATAATATATATATATATATATATATATATATATATATATTATGCGTGTTATGCATTAAATCTAACATGCCTTGACATCTCGGGCACGTAGGACGTCCCGATCAAACAAAGCCTGAATAGAGCATATATTTTTCTAACAATATTGCTGGAATATTCCGGCCGGTAGAAGTAAGTAAATAAATATACTGTTTTATATATATATATATATATATATATATATATATATATATATATATATATATATATAAACCATGTTTTTTTTTACTTAAGAGAGAATAAAATCTTTGTAGGTTAGTCCAGTTTTAATTATTCACTTTTTAAATTTGAAATAGCATTTATTTGGACACTATCGACATTTAATCTAATAGAGTTTTATATACGTAAGCAAGAACATTCAATGAAAAATTTCAAAAATTCCTTATCTGCGGTCTTCAACAAAATATAAATTGACATAGGATTACTGCCTAAATACACACACTATATATACGTGTGTGTGTGTGTGTGCATGTATGTATGTGCATTTGTGTGTGTGTGCGTGTGTGTGCCTTTTGTGTGTATGTGTGTGTGTGCTTTTGTGTGTGTACTTTGGTTTCTCTTATCAGCGAACTCATAAATAAACAATCCATATATTTTACTTATGAATTGCCCCAAGTCACAAGTTTAGAGTGGATGCGAGCGTAGCATAACTGTTACCAACGCTGTGTGGCGTATAGACTTCAAATTCTAGCTTTCCCACAAATGCGATTGAAACTATATGAATTTATCTCTTCCTCTGCAGTTAAGTGTTGATATGAGGGCAGATTCGAGGCGAGTTACAACTCGGAATTTAAAACTGGTTTAGCGTGTGTTTGGCAACTCCACTCCATAAAACCTTTTTACTATGGAAACTGCAGCAGCAACGCTTAGACTGGGGACGTCTACAGAGTTAGTAACAACTTTCATATACAATGCTAAAAGAAAAGCATACAAAATTCCCAAAACCAAAAAAGAAAAAGGCTTAAATACGAACACAACTCTCGGCAAATTATGTTATCGACAAAATCCAATGAATTTGAAAGAAATAAAGCTGATCCCAAAGTCTAAAAATGATCAGCCGCCCTTGAAGAAAGAGTTAAAAATAGAATGTAATTCATGCCCCTACGCCAATACGCTGGTTATACACCTTAAAGATCATAAAAATTCAAATTTGTCTCCTGATTTTTTTAATTATATATAAATAAGTTGGGGAAAACAAATATTCAGTAGAAGTAGAAAAGAGTAAGAAAGGAAGGAGACAAAGAAAAAAAAGGAATGAAAGGAGAAAGAAGGGAAGTAGAAAGAAAGGAAGGAAAAAGAGCGGAAGAAGAAAATGAGAAAAAGAAAGGAAGGAGAAAGAGAGGAAGGAGAAAGAAAGGAAAGAGGCAGAAAGAAAGAAAGAAAGAAAGGGAAAAAGAGAGAAAAGTGAAAGAAGGGAATTGGAAAGTGGAAGAAAGCTGATGAAAAGAAGGAAAGAGAAAAAAGAAAGGAAAAAAAAGAAAGAAAGAAAGAAAGAAAGAAGAAAACGAAAGAAGGGAATTAAGTTTAAAGAAAACAAAGGATAAATGGAAATGGAACCTAAAATTCGCCGACACAAATGCCACCGGAACTTTCACAAATGATGACCTCGAAAATACAGTTTTAATAAATAAAAATATAATTTCCCCAGATGAAGATAATATATTGAAAATGCCATGATCTACAAATCCTCTCCGATTAATGTACGACCTCACTATTTCCGTTTGCCACCTCTTCTTACTAAATTAGAATTGAAATAATGTCGAATAAGGAAACTTAACAAGAAATAAAGAAGCAAAAATGGAAACTGTGCTGGTTTAAAATCTTGTTTTTAAAACGATATCGCTAAAGTAAGAATTAAGCTTCTCAGACACGTAAAGCGAATCACGTTTTGTCTCGCTGATGTGGATTTTGTTGAAATCAAATTCTTTTTAGGATAAAGCCTCTTCATCGCCGAAACATGACAAAATAGAAGTTTCAATTTTTTTTAAACAGTTTCATCGGATTTTCATTGGCTTCATCATTTAGAAAGGGAGAGAGAAAGAGAAAGAGGCTCAGATTGAGGAATCAGAGCAAATACATTTGGAAAATGTACGAATCCATCTCTCCTCCCCCTCCTACAGCTATGGGTAAATAGCAGAACCGACTTGGCAATCGGCCTAGAAGAAGGACAACTTTGAATTCAAAACGTGCAGAGGGTCCTTTTGTGGCATGCTGTGCATCAGTTCACTGGATTCGGCTCTTCCCAAAAGTGTCGTCGGTTCTGTACAAAAGCCTTCATTCACTAGAATCAAATAATATGTGCGGCTAATCCGGCCATTGGTTCTAACAACTGAATTGCTTGACTCTCATACGTTGAAAACAGTCGGAGAGTCCAGTATATGGATATAGGCTTATATATATATATATATATATATATATATATATATATATATATATATATATATATATATAACACACACACACACACACACACATACACATATATATATATATACAAAAAAGTACAAAAACACTACAAAAAAAGCACTACAAAAAAGTAATGAGAACAATAGAACAACAAGTAATACAGTAATAAAAAGCACATGTACTGGATTCAGTTTATTCATTTTCCTTGACGCTGTCACGCATCGAGAAGGTCTGTATGGACGCCATCATTTTCGTGGCACAAAATGATGCGGCGCCATGTCCTGTATGATATTTTATGAAGCTGTGTTTTGTTGATTGTTGCAAAGGCTCTCCGAACGGCGTCCTTTAACCGAGACGCTAACCATTACTTTACAGTTCCTCCATTCTGTTGGTACTATGGTCTCAATTTATGCTAAGTAAATATTCCTTACGACATTACAACACCATCACCAGCATGAACTATTCATACAAGGCAGGATAAATCCATAATATTCTGTGTGCACCAAATTTTGGTCCCTCCATCCGATTGTCACAGCAGATATCGACTGTCATCAGAGTGGGCAACGTTTATCCAATATTCTATCAACATTTTTTATGATCCTTGGTGGATTGTAGTTTTCTTTTTCTTATATGACAAGATTCACAATGTCGTATTCTTCTGCTGCTGTAGCCCATCTACAACAAGGTTCTACAGGGTGAAATGGGTAAGTGATAGATTACACAAAATAGTAAGAGGAGACGAAAAACAGTATCTTAAGCGTGTTCAGTTTTTTCTTCTTTTTACTTCTTTCTTAAGATTAACTAGGCGGTTTTAAAACAAATTTAGATGTTTCCATTTTCCCTTCTACATTTCCTTTTAATTCTAAATTTACTGTCATGCCAAGTTGTGTTGTCAGTTAATTTCATTCATAAATATTTCTGTTTATGTTAATTCTATCATTCATCAACAATTTTAAAATGGTGTTTCTAAATTGATGATTTTGATTCTCCAATGGATCCTGCTTTTAACTAATATAAATATGAAGAGGCTGAACATTTAATTTCTCGAAATTTCATAAAATTAAGTAAAGATGGGGTAACAGATGTAAAAAAAAAAGAATTAAAATTAAAAATTAAGTAAGCTGGGGTAACAGATGTAAAAAAAAGAATAAAAATTCCCAAAATTTTATAAAAAAAAATAATTTCATTTATTTGTGAATAAGTCTTGAAAAAATTCATTCAAATCCGACAATTATTTGATTTTTGCAAAAAAAAAAAAAAAAAAAACGCTAAAAATCCTATATTAATGAGCCCACCCACTGACGGAAGAAAAACAAGATTTTTAACCACAATTTCGAACGTACTAAAAAAGATTTTAAAAATTAATTATTTGGTCTTTCTTCTTAATGAGATAAAAATTTTCATTAAGCTTTGTTCTTTGTTAGAAAATTTATACCTAAGTGCGCGCGTATAGCAAACTCACAAAATATGCATACAAAAACATTCTCATACCCCCTACTCACGCATGCGCATACAGGCACACACAAGCAAGACTTATCAAGATCTAATTTCGAAGAGTCAAATGTCGGTCCCACTTACGAATCATAGGTAAAGAGAGACGAGGGCGAACTGAATGGGCGTCGCAAAGCGAGAAAATGAAATTTCGAATGGGACGCGTGCCAATAAAAATCTGACTTAATCTAGGACAGCATCCTTGTGCACAGTAAATGGCACGCCCCAGGGCAGGACGGTGTCGATGATAGACAAGCCATCCAGAGAATGTTGCTATCCCCGGATAAATCGAGTATTCTACTATTCTTTCAATTTAGTCTCTCGTTTTCTCTCGGAGATTGTGTTCAATGGTCAGGCTCTTATGACGAGGGTTTAACTCGAGGTCATTCGAAAAGATTTTGTGTTTACAATTTGATCTATGGGGGTCGGGGTTGCTATTAGTGATGAAGCTTGGATTTGACCGAGATGGAAGAGGGGAGTGAGTGGATTGTCTCGGGTAGCAACTTTCGTTCGTATCGTATTAAGTTATAATGGAGTGGTGCAATGGTGTGAGTGACGTTGTGAAGGAATGAAGAATAAGAAAGACAAAAGATAGGAAAAAAATTAAAAAAGAAATGAAGAAAAGAAAGACGGAGCAAGAGAGTGCAAATAAAAGTGGAAGATGAGAGGAAGGAAAAAATAATGAGAAAATAAAATAATAAAAAAAAACAATGAAGAAAAATAACGAATGAAAAGAGACGAGATTCGAAAAAAAAAGATGGCGGTGGAAGAAACGAAAGGAAGAAAACGAATTAGATTTGAAAAAATGAAACGAAAAGTGAGAATAAAATGGCAAAGAGTAAGAAATGAAAGTTAAAAAAATAAGACACATGATGAGACGAAAAAGAAAAGAGAAAACAGGTGCTGACCTGGCATCTCGGCTTCAATCACTTTTTCAAAATCATAATCTATCTTCCCTGTATCTTTTCTACGAATATTATCAAGGCGAATGTTCTGATGAAAGCAAAAAGCTGGAAGAGAGTTCCACAGGCAGGAAGTGCAAGTGAAGAACCTATTAAAATAGAACTTACGGTTACCTTTAGCAATTTCAACAATAAAATGGTAAGAAAATAATGAAACGAAGCTGTAACGGTACCGCGAATTCATGAATTTAAGCCTAGTATTAGATTAGCAGCTTATCCTTTTATTATTGGAATTGATAAATGTACCGTAAGTTCTATCCTGATAGTGTCTTCACTCGTACTTCTTACATATGGATTTCTCTTTTAGCTTCCCTGTCTAACACAAGCTAGAAAAATTTAAATTCAACGTCATCTTCTGTCTCTCTTGAAATCGTGTCTTTTATTGTCTTTTGTTCCAAGTAATATTTTCTCGGTTTCCTTTGCTCTCTTATCTTTCATCCTCAGTAACCCCTTGCGTCTTAGTAGCTTTTTTGACTTTCTTGGGGTGAAAAGGAACTGTATATTGATTGAAATATACTCTTTCTCAATGTGGATAACTTATATCCAAATGTTATTTTTCTATTTACTTATTTTTCAACGTTGTTAAATGTATTTTCTTGTAAGCTTAGAAATCTGCATATATAGTGCTATATGATGTAAAATTGATGATGATGTAGAATTTTTTACTAAGATATGCGGAAATATATTGCGTCTTTGTGGCCTTATCACCTTGCTAGGTATGAAATGGTTAAAAATAAGTTTAAGAAGAAACGAGTTGTGAGCAAAGAGGTGTAGTGTATGAAGAAGGCATGAAGAGGAAGAGGAGGATAAATAAATATTAAAGAGGGGGAAAAAGAGAAGAGAAAAGAAAAACAGGAGGAGGAGGAGGAGGAGGATTTTGGGGACATTAAAGTGTATGTAAGACGTTTTGGTGGGGAAAAGACTAAGAAAAAAAAAGAATCTATTTGAAGAACGAGAAGAAAGACCAGTTCAAAAGGAACGCCTGAAACTGTGAAGAGGAACATCAGAAACCGAAAATAAGAGGGAATCAAAAAAGAAAAGAAGCGGGAAAATAAACAAATACTGAGGAAGACCAAGAAAACAAACAAATCCTTTCGTTTAAAAACTATAAAGATTTCAACGCCTGAAATTACCGTCTCTCCTTTGCTGATGAATATCCAGACAGAAATGACCATCTTGTATCAGGTTGCACGCTATTAACAACCACTGAATATAAAAATCGGTATGACAGTGTCGTCTAAGACATACAATAGAATATTTGAAACTCTTACGGGAAGAAAACCGCAAAAAATTGATACGCACACCACCCAGAACCGGTTACAGACATAACACCTGTAACAATTTAATGGGACTTTACAATATACATAATAATAATAAAAGCTAACCGACAAGACATAGTTATCAAATTTCGCAGGAATGTGGTTTCTTATTGAGATGGCAGTTCCTACAGACTGCAATGTAGCTTTGAAGATCTTAAAAAAAAACTATCAAAATACAAGAATCTGGAAGTTGAAATCTTAAGAATGTAAGAAATGAAGGCATGAATAATCCCAGTTGTGGTTGGGTGTCTGGGTTTTGAATGGAAAACGTTCTGAGAAACTCATTGAGGGGATTCAGGGCAGCCCAGGTCTTAAGGAAATACAAAGGAATTAAATCACACCCAACGAAACGCTTTATCTGTGTATAATGTGTATGCGTGTGTAGATTTTTTCTTATATATAAAAATGTGTAATAAGAAATGTCATGGTGCCATTTCTAACCTTAAGTCTATGATTGGGATCCAGGAATAAATAAGTTTACTACTACTACTATTAATACTACTACTACTACTACTACTACTACTACATCATTATCATCAACGATAATAATAATAATAATAAATGAATATACCCAGAGACATAACAAGGTAGCGACATATGTGCTGAAAGATATGTAAGAAGCACAAAATCGAAACCACTGAGAGATGGTATGAGTACCAACCAGCACAGTTACCCTAAATAACGATGTAACTATCCTCTGGGACATGCCACTTCAAACTGACAACAGACCTGATATTAACATAAAAGACAAGAAATTCAGGAAGTGTATGCTTATTGACATACCAGTACCAGCTGAGAGAAACATCTCCATGAAAATTATCGAGAAAATTTCCAAATATCAGGACCTGGAGATCGAGATTAACAAGATGTGGGGAATGAAGACTAAAACTGTACCAAAAGTAATCGGAACACTGGGCCTCGTGAGGAAAAGAATGGACAATTTTACTAACAGTGTCTCAGGTAATATCAACAGATAAGTTGCGCAGAAGACCGCTCTACTAGAAACATGCCATATACTAAGAAAAACGACAATTCTCCTATAGGGTCTAAGGACCATAGTTTGGACCCAACTCTGCATGATACAAAGCGGGAAACATAACATACACAAATAATAATAACAATAATAAAAAAAATAATAATTCTTCACTATATATCTCTGTTCATGAGCTTAATAGGAGAGGAACGTCATGGTCGAATGTCAAGGGTGATGTATTTTTCAAGTTTGAAGGATGTGACATCCAAGGCGACTTGAACGTCACATCTAGATACTTGGAAATACTCTCAATCAGAGGCCCCCGCAGCCGACTGGGTTACCCGACCTGACAGGATTTCTAGCTGGATCAAGGTTATACATTGCTTTTATCAAATTCTCTCACCATATTGCTCACACTTGACTGATGCATGTACCCGGTAGCAGACAAAGTTTCAGAAATATTAAACCATGGTAAAAGAAAAAGGAATGATTTCGAATACACATTTTAAAAAATAAGCTTCCCCACCAAGAATATTGGCGCAACACATTCTTCCAATTCGTAATACTTCAAATGTCAATTTATAGCGTACAAAGTTAAGAAATATTAAACCTCGGTAAAAAGCCATGATTTCAAGGATTGATTTTCAAGGCAAGTAAGCTTTCTCGATTTGGAGAGTTGACGGAACATAATCTTTCATATCCAGTGAGAATATATTTTTGATTTATTTGATTTCTATGATTTCCATATTCCACCGGTTCAAAATCTCAGATCAGTTAAACTGGATTGCGGGCGGGCAAGAAATAAGGTGTCCCTCAAATATAAACATCCTTTAAAATTGTTCTCTGTCCTCTCTGTATTAAACACCCGTCCATCCCAAAGGGGTCAGTAATGTTCGATAGGCTCCGTCGCTCTTTTCGTTTACAACATGGCGCCTATCAAAGCAACGAAAAATTAAAAAAAAATACTAGTAAGTAATCAAATAAATCTAGTTGATCAAGGAGAAGAACCTCCTGATTTCAAAGACTTACAAAAAAAAGTTACAAGCGAGAATTCCGAAAAGAAAATGCGTCAAAAAACAGCAAAGTTTATTCTAGCTAAGGTTTTTAGTTTAGGCCCCAAGGAGAGATTTGGGCAACATTTAAAATCTTGTGATGTTAATGTTTTTGTTTTACTGTCTTTTACTCGGTACAAGGCCAAAGGAGCACGCAAAGTAGCAGTTTACTAAATGAGGTAATGTCGTGGAATGAAAGCAACAGATTTTCTTCGGAAATATCATGCCTGAGCGAGTCTTCCAGACAATTGAGGCAAACTCGTCCTTTTGAGGTGACGAAACGATTCATTTGCAAGAAGAGAGTAACAGAGGCTGCTCGGGGATGTGCTGAAATTTCCTACCCTCCTTTCCTATGGGGTTACTGTAGCACTATAGAACTAAGTTAATACCTGTAGCGAGATTAGGTGTAACTATAACTACGACTGAATTAGCAGGTAAACTAAATGGCTGTTATATTAAAGTTTTAACGTTAACTATGTAGAAATTATTCTACCTAAGTCATAACAGACCTTCAAATTAGAGCAATCCTACACATAAGCAGTCTAGGGCACCTCGGTATGGTGTAATGGTTAGCAAGCTTGTCTCGCTAGAATAATTACGACTGATTAGTGAGTTCGATTCTCACTGGGTACCCTATAATTTCGGCCTTGTGCCATATGTAAGCTTGGAAAATCGCTATAAGCAGTGTAACATAAGCTGTCAAAGTGCTGCTTTACTAAAACTGCTTGAAATAAAGAGTAATTTTATACTTTTAAATGTTTTTTCATCATAAACATCAATTCACTGGTATGGTCCTAGATCGGCGAACAGAGACTCTGAAAGTAGCGATTGTGTCGCGGTATACATTCAGCCTGGAAGCCATATTGTTTCCGATGGTTGGGCTGCTTATGCTATAACTGAGGAAATCAACCGCAGGAGAAACTCTCATGGCATCTTTGTTCATCAGCAGCATTTTCTAAATCCTGCGGTACAAGAACAGTCTTTATTTGCTGCATAGTCCCCCATTACCCGTTCTTATAAGGCTTAATTGTGATCAAAATATATATACCGCGGCCTTATTAATTTTACGCCGTTCAGGGAACAGGTAGTTTATTTTTACACCGTTTAAGTGAAGGATTACACAAAATAGTAAGAGGAGACAAAAAACATTACCATAAGCGTGTTCTGATTTTTTTTCTTCTTTTCACTTCTCTCTTAAGATTAGCTAACCGGTTTCTAAACACAAATTTAGAAGTTTCCATTTACCCTTCTCAATAACTACATTTTCTTTCAATTCTAAATTTACTGTCATGTACAAGTTGTGTCTTCAGTTAATCTCATTCGTTTTTTTTATTTCTGTTTATGTTAATTCTATCTTACATCAACAACTTTAAACAATATATATACAAATATATAAAAGCGTTAGGGGAAGGCACGGTTGGGTAATGGATAGCGGGTTGGGTAATGGATAGCGGCTTGGATTGAGAAGTCGGAGAGACGAGTTCGAATTCCAGTCGAATCCATTACATTCACTTGCGTGCTAATACCCTTGGGAAAGGTATGAATCCTCTTCTCCCTCCAGCTAT